TTTGACAGTGAAGTAAACTGAATGTAAACAAGATCTTTGTTTGTTTATTTCTGTGACCGTTCCTGTTGTTTTAAATGGAGGGATCTTTAATTAATTTCGGAGTTTGACTCTGCGCTACATGCTAAGGAAGACTTTTCTTTTTTTTTCCATCATTTGTCTCTAATGATAAGTTAATTTGATGCTACTAGTTATATAGCAGACTTTAACTTAGAGTAAAGGCTGTTATTTAATAGTACAACTTGAAAACTAATTAACATTGTCATGTAATCGTGCCATGAAGACATTTGACAGAACAAAATGAAGCTAGAGTTTGTATAGTTAGCTTAGCTAACACTCGCTAACTATGTTAGCAAGTGCCGAAGAAGTTTCAGGTGGTAAAATATTACTTTTTTTTTTTTTTTACTTTTCAATGCATACAATATGGGGGTTTATATGATGGAATGGACATAGCTACAACTACAACTACATCACAGCATTAAAGCCTGTTGAATAAGACTCCTGTTGCCGAGCACTGCTGTTCAGCTGGCACAAACAAGCCTTCCACACATTTCTCTCACTCACAAGGATGACGAATCAGCTCTGAGGAAAAAAAAAAAACCATACAGTCATGGTGTGGAAAAACTAGAAGAAACTCCATCTTACTTCTAATAAACATACTGGTATTTTAATACCGCAACTCTTAAGCCAAGAGCAAAAAGCTACTCAATTAGTGGATGCCTACTTTATGTTTGCACATTTTATTTGTCCTTGTGCATCGTCTGTTTTAAGGTTGAGCGAGTGTGCAGCGTGCTCCTCTCTGGTGGTCTGAGAGCTCTTCAGGCTGCGTTCCAAGGACCAGAACAGCAAGTCGCAGCTTTTAGTTTCTGAAACTAAATACGAGATGAGCAGAAGCTGTTGGCTTCTTCAGGTCATGACCAGAGAAAACATTCCCCTTGTACTGCAAGATTATCCACGAAGATGAATGACGTCCGCTGGTTTGCATCGTACTTGAGGTTTTAATTTGCTAAAGTGGATAATTTCAGTGGTTCTTTCCTTTCATATGATGCATTATGTTGTTTTTTGAGTTTTTTTTTTTTTTTTTTTTTATATATTTTGGTGTTTTTGATGTATCTTATCGTTCTTCTTTTGTTCTCTTGGAAAGCATTTCGTCTACGCCTGCTTGGATGGCGGAACGCATGTGGATTTCCCTCGCTGCACCTTTGAAAGCTAACACCGGAATTTAATCAAAAAGGTGAATCGACGAACTGTTAAGTTTAGCGTTTCACAGCCTTGTTGCTTTTCATGTTTCCCACTCAAACAGAGTTGTTTGTTTTGCAGTTGAATTAAAATGTGGGAAAAAAATGAAGTAAAATGAAAGTTGGGAACGGATTTAATCATTGCAAAATCCTTGCCTTATCAAAGGGACGTGAAGGCTTTTCTCTCCACGATGCCTGCTTTAGTTTAATGCACATACCCATTGAAATATTATCGTTTTAAATAATTAATTAGTCCACATAATTTTTCCAAACATTAATGTGTCGAAGGCAAGGAAGCATCCTCATCTAAAGCCCATGTTAAAAAAAAAAGGAAAAAAAAGTGATTCCTTGCTAGCCAGAAAACCCCCTTTTTCTCTTTTTTAGAGCAAGTCACAGATTGGCTTGACAGTGATGCATTCAAATGGGTCATCCTGTAATTGTTCTTTCCTGTGGCTACTGGCCGAGCTGGAATTACATAACGATGATGAAGCTGGGGGACCTGGCCTTCCAAGATAAAAGCTGCCATGCGGGGCCGTGCGCATTCTCCAGATGCTTCGTCTGAGAGGTCTTCTGAAGGAAGTGATTATTGTGGAGCTGCCCGCTAATGCTCTGCCGGGACTGGACCAGTCAGTCTGTTATTCATCAAAACCCACACTGTGTAAGCCCTGGCACGCTCTGGAAAGGGATGAACAACGTGCGAGCATGTTGTCGTGTGATGACATTTCAACATCGCAACGAAAGACGTTTGAACCGCTCTTCTATGTGGACGTTTTACACCCACTGGGTCCAGGGTGGACATAATGGACTGGGGGCTCCATCTGTAACATAAAAAAAAAAAACTCCCCAAAACTAGCGCAAGAATTTCTTTCCAGGGCTGCTCTGGGCTTCAAAAGACATCCCTTTGCCATATGATCAAATCAGATGCTAAGGGTGACCAATATGACCTTGCAACTGGGAGCAGCACAAAGGCCGCTCAGTTGTCTGCTCAGCCAGGCAACAGCAAAACACACTGCCACTCAGAAAGACAATGAAGCGCCTGTGTCGAAGCGTTGTTTATCTCATGAGCAAATGGCGTGCCAGGCTGCGGCGCGGCTCTGCGCCTATGAAATAGCTGCCGGAAGAGAAATGCCGCCGTGGCACACACGCGCGTGCGCGTGCACACACGTGTGTTTTCAGCAGAGAGGAAATGATAAGAATGAGATGGGGTGATGTAAGGACCACAGAAATGTGTGTTCGGACTGCTACAGGAATGAAACGTCACGTGCGGGAGAATGCGTCGGCGTGGTTGCCGAACAGCAAAGGAATTCTGGGTGTTGCGAACAAACTTCAGTGTAAAAATGTTCCCGGTTTCGCTTTGATGAACATCAGAGATGCGAGTCATGTTCTAACAGTCTTTGAGTTCACTTGTTTTATTCAGTCTTTTGTTCCATTTGCATTGAGAGTTGGAGGTTTAAATACCCACCTGTAAGCACTGTACTTGTATTTCTTGTCTTTTTTTTGTGTGTATTTGTATTTGTTGAATCACGTTGTTATGTCAGTCCGGATCTATTTTAAAACTAAAAAGCTAAGTACAGTGACTGTTTTGAGGAGTGAAAACGATAACAGAGAATTTTCCACCACAAGGTCTATTATCATGATCACAGCCTCAAATAATAAAAACATTACTCAATATTTTTGGAATTGGTGAGAAATATGTAAAATAGACCCACTGCACTGGACGAATGATGCATCAAAATTTGGGGAGAAACATTTATTGGAAAAGTGAAAATGTTCGTTTTTGTTTCCGGAAAAGCAAGATGAGCTTTACTCAAAGAAAGTTTTAGAACCATAAGATCTCACTGAACCTTGAAGATTTACCAAAGGTTTTCCTGGTTGTTTAAAGTGCAACGCTGCCTCGAAAACCACTAAATTCGACTAATTCAGCTGTTAGCATGATCTTATTAGGGTAAGGCTGCTCTGACGCCACACTATGAGTGTGGCAGCTGACTGCAGATCTTACTGAACAATCAGATTGTTCCGATAATTAATCCAATGTGTCCATACACATCATTTTCAACAAAAAATTGTGGGGAAATTGTTTGCAAGCATTATTTAGAGTAAAGGAATCCACCGCATGCCGATGTATAAAGTAGTGTGTATCAAAACATTGTAACCCGGTTGAGAGGAAGTTGACATAACCAAAGGAAGTTAAATGGGAGGAAATCCATTTGTGTAAGGACCGATGTAATGTCATGAAAGTTCACTGTTGTGATAAATTTTGACAAGGACTACTGGCTACTCACATAAAAAGTAACAAGTATGCGGCAGTTTGAGTAAATTAGGATCTGTCAAGGTTTCCCCACAGGTTATAATAAGCCTGGCGGGCCTCCAGACTTTATTTCTTCCCTTCCCACCAGGCTAAGAGTTGTTTGTTTACTGTAGATAGGGTTTTTAAACACAGGTAATAGTGACAATAAAGACAGATTAAGCTAGGTTTATAGCTGACACATTTTACCAATTGCGCTGGCTTCTAAATGATCATGCCTGCTTGTACGCCACAGAATATTTGTAACTTTTTGACATTTTTCAACACAAAAACACGGTGGACTGCTCAGGTGCCCCTACCTCCAGGAGGAAACCCCGCCTCTGTTCGCTAACTGTTAATGGAAGCTAAAACAGTTACATTGTGAGCAATAAGTACCCAAATGTGCTAATGTATGCAGCTGTAGTAACACCATAAATAAGTCAGAACATGTCACATTTTTATGAAAAATCTTTGAACATTGCATGCTTTGAGAATCTCATTGGAAAAAAAACTACACATTTGACTGTTGAGTAAACATAAAGTTGTATAAATGCAACTCTGCATAATTCATAAAAACTCGTAACTTGTAGTGCAGCAAAAAAAAAAAAAAAGCCAGAGAACTAGTTTTTCATGAATTTGTTAAAACCATACAATGATGGCATGGACTCCTTATTTTTGTCTATAACAATCTTTGGAATAACTCTTGAGTTAATTTATACAGATCCCCCCATGTATCATAACATCTAAACCGGGGTAAAACAAACTCCTTAACTTTCAGGAACTGCTCTTGAATATTAATCCTTCATTTTAAATCTCTTTTAAATGCAAATTAGGTTGTTAAAATAAGTTTTTTTTTCAACCAATATAGTCAAACTTCTGCTTTTAGGGACAGTGCACATTTTAATATTTTCAATGTTGCGGCTGGCAAAAAAAAAGAAAGCAGAAGTTTGCTTTAAAGGTGATGAAGTCAATCATAGAGAAAGAGAACAAATGTTTCCTCTTAGCTCATGTGTGTCCTGATAACATAATAATAGCCTGTCAACTCATGGTCACAGAGTCTTTTCTGAGGTTGGTGTCAACACATTCTCCTCACTCAGCCCTTCTGAGCAGCGCTGTTGCAACTGTTACTCGTGTCAAAGTTGCAGTTCTGTTTTCCACATCGGGCTATTTATTTCGGCTCACATACGCTGTCTGTGGCTAAACGCGCAGCCGACAGTCAAGACTACGGGGAAAGCGAGCTCATCACTCGCTTATATACACACGCCAAAAATAACCGACCAATCAGCCGCGAGCAACTTATGAAGTCAGCCAATCGAGGCGGGGAGATAGCCAAACCAGAAGCGCGTCCATTGGCCGGCTGTGATGTCATTCGCCGCCGCGTACGCTGCTCGAAGCTGATTGGACATGCACGGCAGCCACCAGGAGGGGAGGAGGCTGGGGTCCAGGTTTGAATAGGGGAAGTTTGCAGAGCGCAGTTGTCCGGCAGCCAGTCTAGTGTGCTGTTTGCAAATATCCTGAGCTGAGCGCTGCGAAGGGCTAGGGGAGAAGGAAGTGGAGCACCGACGTACGGACTGCTGCTACAAACAAACCTTCGCTTGCATCGCAGAGGGGATCGTTCTTTATTCCTTTCACAGACATTTTTTATTTAAAACGCGGGTGTTTACATAGTTTTTATTATTATTATTATTATTACTATTATTATTATTTTTCCCACCTCCCTCCCCTCCAGACAATTAAGTGCGGGGAAGAAAAATGGATGTTTTACCGATGTGTAGTATTTTTCAAGAACTTCAAATAGTTCACGACACGGGCTATTTCTCAGCCTTACCGTCTCTGGAGGAGTACTGGCAGCAGGTGAATATAACTTCTTCTTCTCTTTCCTTTTTCAAATCTACTCTCAGCTGGTCGAGCTAAGCGGAACTGAGCGGGTTTCACGCGCCTCCTGTCAGATCAAACGCCGCCGACCCGAGCGGTGTCAGAAGTTGTCCGTGAGATTGTCGCTGTAATGGTGGTGAACACACGGTGCCCCGCCGCTTGTTTCGGTCTCGGTTTCGCTGTGAAGTTGTGTTGGCACGTCGCCGCCGCCGAGGCGGCTCACTTTGACACTGACAGCTTCACGCAGGGTCTCGTCGTTGTTTTGGCCGCGCTGCGTTCAGAATGAATGGAGGAGAGCTTCTCTCCTTCGGCGACACGAGCGACTTTTATCTTTAACGGCGTTGTGAAATGTAAATATAAACACGAGCTTTACCGCTTCTTCTTTTCCTGTTTTTTTTATTTTATTTTTTATTTTATTGTGGGAGAGCTACTTTCGCTGCCTTTAAGAGAAAACAACGGACGATGCAGGAGGAAGTGGATGTTTGAACTCATTCACGAGATGACGACGAACCTCCTCCCCCAGCACGCACGCGCTGGGTTTTGACAGTGTTTTCCTGCTCGTGGCGCTCACCTGCATTCACCCTGAGATTTGAATGGACTCCTCGACGTGACGCGGTGAAATGTCAATTCCTTCGCGCATGAGTAGAGGCAGCAGAGCAGCTCGGCTTGGAGGAGGTTTTTGGCGAAGGCTTGCAGGGGCGCTTCCAGAAAGTTTTCGATTGGTGGGGGTAGAGAGGGGGTCGTGGGTGGGGGGGGGGGCTGTTATGGGTTAACTTGGGATGGCAAAAACAAAAGCGGAAAAATAATCTCAGGAGTTTTATTATTCTGTCATCGCTGAAAACCTTGACAAACTACACCACTTTATGCCAAAAATGTCACAAACAAGTTATCTGTCTTGTTGCTCATGACAACATAAGCAACAACATTAATGATGTTTATCATTTATGTCAGTAACATTTGAGGTGTGTATATGGGCTTTAAAACTGCATTGCCTTAATATGGGTGACAGGTGGCGCTCTTTTGGTTTACACATGCTGGCTATCATGATCATTTGTTTGTTTGTTTTAAATCATTTACGTTGATTTGTAAATGATTTGAAAAAGTGACTTTTTCCAGTCAGCTGACTGGCAGTGCACAGCAACATGGGGAAGGGGCATTGCTATGTTACTCTGTCATACACAAGGGGGGGTCCATTTTAAGGTGCTTACCATGGAAAATTGAATGCTTTACTCATAAATGCATCATTTCAGAAAACCAAGAAATCCCACCATTTTTGGTCTTTAAATGCAAGAACCAACGGCTTTGCTTTTTATTCATTTTCATTAGCTTGTTATTTGATATATCAATGACTGATAATCTCATTTTGTAAACCTAATGCAACTGTTAAAGAGCCTACATCTATTTTTTTGTTCGTTTATGGGTGATAGTCCTTGTAGAAAAGCAGCTGGAGGGGGAAAAAAAGGAGTCTGTCAAAATTGGAATTGGCAGGTCAGCCCAGGTGAAGCCTGACTGGTGCTCCTCCACATGCAAATGAACAAGTGAATGAATAAAACATACAGAAGCTCTACATTTAAATCCATTTTAATAATAATAATAAAAAAATAATAAATTATATGCAAGCTATATGACTGTGAGGAAGCGGTGAGAAAGAAGATTGTCAGATTTAAAGTGGGTGCACCTGGAGCCAGAGAATCTTTTTATTCCCGCACCGTCTAACGAATGCCTCCGACTTTTAACGGCCTCTCCCGTGTACGTCCTAAGTAAACTGGGAGCTACGGTGTGTGTTTTACTGGACTTGCTGGTTGCTGAGGGGAGGATGGGATTGCATGTCAACAGAGGGAAAGCGACTGAACGGCTCTGTGAGGCCGCAAGGGGAAGTTGAGCGTCTTCCTTTTAAGGACTCTAAAGTTTGCTCGGTGAGTCATCGGCGCTGAAATGACGGTGCACATTTGCAGCTGGAGACTTCCACCTGCGAAGGGTCACGTTGGGTTGGAGCCGAAGACGTGGAGTGTGATGTTTTCCCAATGAATCATTCAGGTCTGCAGAGATAATATTTAAACACTTCTGCCACATACTCACCACGGCCAAGAGTAGAGATCCATGATTCTTTGGTTTTTTTTTTCCTGCTTACATTCCTGAAGCTAATCCCTAAAAGTGCAGGAGTAGCTTTGATTTTCTGGTTTGCGCTTCCTGTTGTAAGCAAGCATGACGCTGCCAAAAAGCGTTTTGGGGGATGTGTGCATGCATGATTCAAGAGGATTTCCCTCACAGAGGTGTTCAGCTGCTTCTCTATAGGAAAAGCTGTTACAATAATTTTCTTTTCCCCTCTTTTTTATTTCCCTGTGCATTCTGGCAGACTTGCTTGGAGTTGGAACGCTACCTACAGAGCGAGCCGTACGTCTCCACGTCCGAGCTGAAGTTCGGCGGCCAGGAGGACCTCTGGAGCAAGCTGATCCTGGCTTGCGGGGACAAGGCCAAGGCCGACCCAAACCTGGCCCTGGTGCCGGCCCACGACGAGGACAATCAGGACGGCCAGCTCTTGGACAGCAACAGCGTCAACTCTGACGCCAGCAGCGAGGCTTCGGACAGTTTCGAGGAGCTCTCCCCCACGCACAGCTTTACCTCCAACCCGTTGGGGTCGACGTTGGTTGGCTCTGGACCTTTTAGCCCCTCCGTCATCAGCACGCCGCCGTCCTCGCCGGAGGCCGCCATGGGCACGGCCGCCGCCGTCAATGGCTGGGTGGCGACGCACGCCGGGCTGAACCTGCCCGTCAAAATCAGGACCGGCAGCAGTGGTGGCGTGGGAGTAGGAGGCGCGGCGGTGGCGAAGGCCACGGAAAAGACTGGACTCCTCTGCGGAGACGCGTCCCCGGATGCCCGGAGGCGGGTACATAGGTGTCACTTCAACGGCTGTCGCAAGGTTTACACGAAGAGCTCGCATCTGAAGGCACACCAGCGCACTCACACAGGTGAGTTTCAGTGGAAGGGGAGGGGGACGCTGAGGTCATGTGATCTGTGTGTAAACGGAGTAGGAGGGGCTGCTCCATTCAAGGAAAACCAGTTCATCTCCAAGCAGTCAATCCATGATTTTTTTAAAATTATTTTTGTTCTTGTGGCCTAAAATGACTGATTTCTGCTGCAGTTTTTTTTTTTTAAAAGATTGCAGCCAAAGTTGCAAAGCTTAATTTTTGCACAGTCTATGAATGACGTTGCTGCACATTACCTTCCCACAAACGGAAGGTAATACTGAGGAAGTTAGTATGTAAAGTCCAAATAACATTTTCAAGTAACATCCTTAATACTAATTTATTTGTCGTAAGGATCTGAGGAGCGGTCAGAGTGCAAAAAGAAGAACTCCATGTTGGTCATTGAAGGCAACACGAACTTCTACAGAACCTATGAAAATGATTTTCGGAAAAAAGTAAATAAATAAATAGGCTGACGTTGCATGTTAGCATCGTACACTTTCATCTTGCAAGTTCGACCTTTGAAAGACATTGAGAAACAGGAAGCGAAGTTAGAACAGGGGCTGAGAGGATTGGTCAGAATTCAACCAAAGTTCAGTGATTGGTCAGAGAAGAAGTAAACGACCGGGCCTGGTTTGTGGAAAAGTCGCAACGAAATTCGCAAGTCCGCGCAAAAAACGTGTGAATGACGAGTTACTGTCGATCAACGGTTGCGATCGTAGCTTCCTGCAGGGTCAGTCTGTGGCTTGAAAACCAAGGGAGGGAAAAAAATCAAAAAAATCACTACCAGTGACTCATGGAAGTGCTGCTAATTCAGTCCTCCACCTTAATGGCATTGTCCAGCCAGTGTGTAATGTAATTAAAGGCCCACGTTGCACCATGTCCTCAGCTGGAGCGCTGCGAGCATTAGCTCTGCATGGCTGGATACCTAAACTGTGACCTAATCTATGTGGAATGTGACTGACGGAGCCAGAGAGCGAACCAGTGGGTGAGAGAGAGAGAGAGAGAGAGAGAGAGAGAGAGAGAGAGAGAGAGAGAGAGAGAGGTGGGAGTGGGAGGGGGGAGTGGTGGCACATGGGAGATGAAAGGACTTCCAAACAGATTGGGTTTCGCCATGGGAAAGAGCTGAGTGGGCGGGGAGCGAAGGGGGCCGCCGGGTTCCGAATGGTCATTTAAATGTCTTTTATTTTTATTTAGTAGCGAGAAATTGCTTGTGTTGTTTCGGTTTACTCGTTTATTTCTGTCCCCACTCTCCCTTCCTCCCTCCCTTCTTCTCCCCGCTCCCACGATGCACTAGTCTGCATTCTCGGCCTGCTGCAGGTCGCATCAGAATCCGAACCCGAGCCAACAGACTCTGTAGGAATTTCAGTCTCCATCGGATTGTGGGCGCTTTTTTTGTGTGTGTGTTGTTGTTGTTTTAGTTGCGTCATCGCTCTCTCTCTCTCTCTCTCTCTCGCGCACGGCCAATTTGAATGCAATTTAAATAACTACGCTGAGAATGTAAGCGTCCCTCTAACGTCGCCGTGCGTCTGCTCCGCAGGTGAGAAACCGTACAGGTGTTCGTGGGAGGGCTGCGAGTGGCGCTTTGCACGGAGCGACGAGCTGACCAGACACTTCAGGAAGCACACAGGGGCCAAGCCATTCAAATGCAATCACTGTGACAGGTAAGCCGCTTGTCCTCGCACTGTCCGCTGCACTAGTTCCATTTGACTCTATAAGCTGGGAAAAAGTCATGAGTGAAATCGTATCCCAGTGAACCCAAAACGTTTTGATTAACATTAAGGAATTGCAAAACAAGCTCCTCTGTCTTGCAGGAAAGTTGCTCGTAAGTTAGGTTGTTCTTATTTCAGATACATTTAGACGAGAAAACAGACAAAAAAAAAAAACACTTCAGAAGATTTGTGTTTTAGCAGCGTTCTCACAATAAAAACCACAAACCTGAGTATGTGGTTATGTTTTATGTGACAGACAAACAAAAGTGAGTTATTGTGATGTGGAGGCGGCGAAAGTATTGTTGTTTCTCCACATAAATATCTCAAAAGTTTTGCATTTACATTCATCCCCTCTGCTCCAATTACCTTCAGAAGTCTTCATGAATGTTTTGTGAAGGCCTCGGAGGTTTTCTTTTAGAGAACACTGGTGAGCAAAGAAAAACAAAACAAAAAAAAAGAAACAGCGTCATAAAGGATCCAGAAGCAGCCGAGAGTTCACACCAGTAACGCTGCATAGAAGCAGAACAAGGTGCTCTGGTCAGATAAGAGGAAAGTTCAAGTTTTGGCCTACATGTGGTAGAAAGGTAACTCTGCACATTACAGCATTGTGCTGTGGCCTAGTCAAAGTCAGCTGTGAACTCAGAGAAACATGGTGATGGTGGCATCATCCTGTGGGAATGTGAAATACAGAATCAGAGCTAATTGACAACGACTATGCTACTATGTAGATCTAGACTCTAAGGAAACAAACGATCCTGAAATGTTGCAGTGTGACAAAATGTGAAGCAGGACTGAAACAATTAATCGTGATCAATCGTTTTAGCACTGCTGGCTTCAAATGTTGAAGTTAAAACTTAAACATTTTGTAGAAGGAAAAAAACACCATGTTTTGCTGTCCAATTTTTGACTGGTTCATCGGAAAATGAATCAGCAGATCAGCCTGCAATACATTGATGTCAAGTCCAGCAGAAAGCTTCTCGTCTTTTCATTTTTATTTTTATTTTTCTGCAGATGCATCCTTTGCTACAAATGATCAAGTGTACATTAAAAGAATGCTAAGTTAATAGTGAAGAAAATGTTTAGTCCTTATTTAAAACAGAATGGAATCATATATCGGCATCTTGTAATGCGATTTAAATTAAAAACTGAAGGTGCAATTTCTTTTCATCTGATTAATCGTCAGCACAATCGATTAATCCCTACCCTTGATCTTTTTAAACCGTTTCCTTGGTTACCGACTGACCTCTTGTTCTTTCTCTCTGTCCTCAGATGTTTCTCCAGGTCAGACCACCTGGCCCTTCACATGAAGAGGCACGTCTAACGCAGGGCCAGCGTCCACCGGGCAACGCACCGAAGGGAAAATCCTCTGAAATTTTCTCTCTCAAACGTTTTTTTTTTTCCTCTTTTTTTTCTTTTTTTTTTCTTTTTGATGGAGAGAGGAAAAAAAAAATTTTAAAAATCCAAACGCACGCCATCTCCCGACTGGCCTCTTGGTTGAACTGTCCCAGAGAGCAGAGCGGCGAGGGCGAATGGGGCGGAAGGAGGAGGCGTGTCCCAGCCAAAGCATGCCGTTTTGCACCGTACCGAAATAACCCAGTGCCTCCGGGACCTCACTTTGTTTCTCTTTTTCTTGTTGTGTTTTCTTTTTTTGGAGACGGGCGCTCTGATGGTTTTCTGTTGCAACAGGACGACGAAATTGCGGACGCGAGTGGGAAGGAAATGGTTTTCCATCGAGAACTTTAAGAAAAGACCAAGGGGAAGCCGGGGGGGTGGGGAGAAACAAAAAAACAAACAAAAAATGCTTACAGGAGAAAAAGAAAAAAAAAAAAAAGGCGAGTGAATGAATTGTATGTATGGTGCATGATGTTTTGGGGGGGGGGAAACGTCTCCCGGACAGCAGATACACTGGTACTTTACAAACCTGTCTGAGGTTAGCATGTCTGCACTGTGAATGTCTGAGATTGGCTGACCGGCCCAGGATGAGGACTGACGAGAAGACGGATTGGTGCGGGGCTGGTACCAATGTTGCTGTGGACTGAATGAGTTTCTGTGGCGGAGGCGAGCTCAGGGCAGCGGCGTGAGGATGAGGCCGGGTCACGTCTGTCTGGCTGCCAGACTCTAAAAACGGGGGGCCGGGGTGGTTCGGATCGCTTCATCTGAAACGCGTCAGGCTTTGGGTCCGACCAGAACATAGACATGACGCCTTCTGGTCTGTGCCTCCACCACCTCTTCCCTGAATGACAGAAGCCTTGTTTTGGTGGTTTTTCTTTTTACTTTTTTATTTTAATTTTATTTTGTTATTTTTTGGTGCAGCTACTAAATGTGCAATGTGTTATGTAGCCTGGTTTCTTAATTTTTCTACAAGCTACAAAACCCATTTGTAGTACCGACTGTATGAGCTGTGTGCTTAGAGGTAATAACACAACTATACTATTAACTTCAGTATCATAGACAGGTGTTGCATGGTTCTAGGGATTGTTTCCATTTCCAGTTTCCCACTGTAATCAGGACTGCAAATAGTTTCAAGAAAAGTGCAGCTAAAAACGCAAACGGTTAGATGTTACAATATTGTACATAAAGGCCTCGACAATTCCTCCTTTTATTTTGTTTTTGGTGGAGATGCACCGATCTGGCTTGACCGGCCCATGCCGATTATTTATTTATATTTTTTTAAATCAAACACAAGTGAAGGAATAACTCGTCCCCTCTTTGTGCATCACGTTGTATGTCTCCAACATTTACCAGATTCCTATAAATTAAAACGTTTTTTATCATTATTCAACAACAACAACAAAAAAGGATAAAGTTACTTGAAAAAAGTGGGGATTTTTCATTTTGATGTATTCAACATCTGGCTGGTTGATCGGTTCATCTCTATTCTCATCCCCTTTTTTTTTTTTTTTTTTTTAAGTTTCCTCTTCATTGTGGTTTTTCATCTGCCTGGAGATTTCACTGCTGCTCATATCCATCTGATGCCTCAAAGACTAATTTCTGCTTAGTACTTCTTTTGTTTATGTATGTGTGTGTGCGTATACTCGTTTTTCTTTCTACCTAATAATGCACTGTTGACCTTAATGGTGCCTTATGCAAGTGGCCTCCCACCTGGGGATGTCACGTTTGTCGACTGGGTGATTTATAATTTTTTTTTTTTTTTTACAAGCTCTATCAAGGCTCAATTACAAAACAGTTGCAATAGTTACATTTTCCCCACGACTAATTGAGTTGTTCCATTTTTTAAGTCTTTCACACAAAGTACCTGTTATCAGTTGGTTTGCCGTTTTTTGTTAGTTTTTTATTTTTTGAGACGGAGCAGTGGATTAGCTGTTTATCGCATTTAAGTTAACTTGTAAATAAGGCGATGCTGTAACCTGGGAGCACTTAAATTTGTTGATTAAAGGCGTTAACTACTGTGTAGTATGTACTCGAGTCCATCTCACACAGCAGCACAAAGGTACAAAGTGATCAAGATGTTGAAATGATAAAAAGTCGGCGACGTTTCGAGTGTGGCCCCGAGAATCCGACCGTCTGACGGCACAGACGACAAAGAAACGCGACTTTCTTTTCGGCGGCAAGTGATAAAAGCAGCTGGGGGGCGGCTGTCTGAAACTTTAGCTTGAACTCAGTTACCCTTCCTCTCCTCTGCTGGTTCTCCCATCTCCTGTCCCCGCATCCAAGTGGGACTGAAGGGGGGAGAAAAGAAAAAAAGCTAAAGATTTATTGTAATTAACAGGCTGCAGTCGGACAGGCCTCGCCTTGTACTGCCTCTCGGTAATGAATTGCTAAAGGCTTTGTTGGCATGGAATCTGTCACAGACTGCTGACTGTGTAGGTTGGTTATTGACCTGTCTGGAGCGCGTTGTTTCGGCCAAAGCTGCAACTGTAACGCAGAGGGGAAATGAAGGAGGGATGCATGAGGAAATTAGGCAGAAGGGGGGGAAAAAAAAACATTATTGACACTGTAGCAGAAAGATTGCCAGGGGGTGGGAGGAAGAAAAAAAAAAAAGAGGTGATTTGACTTCAGTTGATCAGGATGAGGCGATCTGTCCGCTCCCACCCGGGGTCGGCGACCTCCGATGTCGCGGCGACCGCGACACGCTCCGGACGTATGGATTTCGGATCAGTCGCAGGAGACGGAGGATGAGTTCAAGCTTTGAAACTGCTTGCTGCGGTAGATTTTTTTTTTTTTTGGGGGGGGGGGGAGTTGCTGCAAAGAGCCGCAGCATCTGTGACGTCGGCGAGCCGATATCCTTCCAGTGATAATTGAGCCTTGATTTAGCGTCGTTTTTTTTTTTTTGTTTTTTTGTTTTCATTTTGCTTGCATTTATTTCCACATCATCATCATCATCATCTCTCTTTCATCCCACTCACCCAGCTGTTCTCTCTCATACAGAAAACACACTATCTCTTGCTCTCTCTATCACACACACACACACACACAGCTCTTTTGTTCTCAACTGAATCTTTGTATAAGAGAAAAAAAAAGACTTTTGTAAAATTGTTATGTTTATGCTTTATGAAATTTTTATTTGAAATTGTTTTGCAAAATTGTTATATTTCTGTATGAATGTATTTTTTATTGGAATAATAAGAAATTCTTATCTGACTTTTCTTGGCTGGCTTCCTTTGTCTCATCAGCTGATTCTGCTCACTTGGATTTTTATTACTGTGAGTGCTTGTTTTGCACGGTTGGAGGGGGAAAATGGCCGCCTGGCATGCTGCTCTGCAGTACTCTGGCTAAATTAGACGCGAGGATATATAGCGCGCCTTGCAAAAAAAAACGTTACATATCCTTTTCGAACGTTCGCATATTTTCACATCTTGATGCAGTTTATCGGAATGTTATGCAAGAGACCGGCGCCTAGTGGTTTCAATACAGGCTGGATCATAAGTGATCTGAAAAGTGTGGCGTGCTTTTGTGTTCAGCCCAGCAACTCCAGCTGTGCACAACCACAGTGATACTTTCTCCCATTTCTTCTTCAGCATAAATCGGCATAAACGTTTTAAAGCCTTCACACAGATTCTCCCTTGGTCCAGTCAAACATTTAGACTTTGACTGGGCCATAATATGCTGTGACCTCGAACTGCTGCTGTAGGCCTCGGCTTGTTCTGCAGCCTCTGACAGGTTTTCATCTTTAATGGAAGCGTCTTTACCACTGCGGTGCGTTTAGGGTGCTGTGCCATCGCCTTTTTTGTATCCTTTTTAGGTCGCCTCTAAGAAGAACTCCTCTTTCGACTTGGGTGCCGCGTCTCTTTTGTGGCTTGCTGCAAACTAAACGCAGACTGTTTTGTGTCTTTCTTCCCCAAACGAAGTGCGGATCCAGCGACTCTGGAGTTACCGTGACGGATTACATCGATGACCTTTTCCTGGCATATTTGCAGTTTCAACAGCGAGATGTTCAAAGCTTAGGATGTCGTTTCCAAACCTACTTTCAACTTCTCCACAAATTTATAGCGGACTTTCCTTCTGTGTTCCTTGGTTCAAAAGAACCCGCTTTGTTAAATTTCGGCTGTATTCTCAATTTCACAAGTTAACTTCTGAGCACAACTGTTTGCCAGAAACCCTAAAACATGACTTCATGTTTTAGCCGCTAAAGTAAAACCGAGTGGACTAAAACTCAAACTTGACTGAAAATAGATGAAAAGTGCTGACGTGGATACACACATTTTATATATATGTGTGTAAAAACGGGGGAAAGAGGAAGCAAAATCAATTTTCTTCCGTTTCAGCGTTTTTCCACTAGTTTGTTGGTCTACAACCTAAAATTCTCCATGAAACACATTTAATTTGTGCTCAGAAAAGGGACAAAACGTGAAGCGGGCTGCGAGTCATTTAGCGAGCAAGGGGAAAATTATTTAATTTCCTCGACTGACTAAACTTTTCTTTAAATTAAAAAAAATAATAAAAAAAACACCCCACAAAAACAACTTTTCTCGGAGCAATATTCTGCCGGAATATAAAAACCGAAAAGAAAAAAGAAAAAGTCTGACTGCTCATTCCTTCAAGTAATCTAGAGCTAATCAAAGCAGCATAAATAATTTATCTCCATCTCTCAGCGCCCGTGGCATTTTAATTCGAGAGCCGCCTTTATACATTTGTTAGCTAATTACCCTACTTGATATGGATAATGACATAAAAACAGCAGTTGATAAACCAAAGAGGCGACTTTAAGACACAAACTAACATCAGCATAAGGTGGAGGAAAGAAAAAAAAAAAGAGAAATGCTGAATGCCGTTGACCTCGAATGGGCCGGCCCTGATTTCCAGTAAGAGCCCTAAACAAAGCTTTTCCCCCCAGTTGGTAATTAAGCCTCCCGGCTCGAGTGTTCAAGAGTTGTTGTTTTTGCCCAGAACACCGCAGCTCCTTGATCTCCTCAAACTGCTGCCTCGCTTAATTTGTCAATATCGTGTCTAACGTATGAGCTGAAGAGAAAAAGGAACCCCGTTCGGTTTCAAACTCTTCATCCGGAGCTGGACATGTGGTGATGAATGTATTTGGCTTTTTTGTCCTTCATCAGGGCCGGTCCAAGGCTGTACGGGGCCTTGGGCAAAATTTGATTTTGGGACCCACTTCCTGTCCTGTCCTCCTCCCGCTAAACATGGCAACAAGGATCTTCATAGAGTCACGAAGGAGCCGCCGAACTGAATAAGCAGTTATGAAAATCTGTAAATAACGCTTCTAAAAATGAGTAATTGCTAATTAATGTCACTCTAACTATGTCAACAAGCTGAAACTATCACATTATAAAAATGAATCATTGCCTTTCAAATTTATGATAAAAAAACGATTAATCCTGATGGATCCCCATGGATCCTGATTAATGTATTCACCCGCTTGAGTTCCTCCACTGGTTTTCTGTACACTTTTTACTACTTTACTTCTGCGTACTTTGTGCTGTTTCAGCCATTCAGTTTTTACCTCATTCTGATCATTCATGACATTGCGACTGCGTCTCATCGTATCGACGTCTTCCACCCTCCTTCCAACTGTACTCCCAACTTTCTGCCCAACCGTAAACCCGTCCTATTTTTTCCCTTTTTGGGGATTTTTGCACTTTCTAAAAGTTTTCGTTCCTCTTCCACATTCTTTTTGTGTTTTGTATGTGTCTTCCAGGCTTTTGCCTCATTCTGCCTCTTCTGCCTCTTCCTTACATTTCAAGTCCTCTGCAGTTGACTTCGAAAGCTTCCGCAATCTCGTTCGCCTGACGTTTGCGAAGTGGCTAAGGCTCCCCCAACTTAGCCACATTCGCCCCAAAAAGCGTCTTGGGGTTCCACGTCGACGTTTTTGAGGCTGATACCTCGCGCCGTCTCTGCTCACCATACAACAGCCTCCTCTCTGAAGTGGCCTGTCTTGGATAAAGTTTCTCATAAATCTGGCGCGAAGATTCCATTCCTCCTTTGATGTAGCCCGTTCTCCCATTCAGCGTCAGCGTTCCCACATTGATATTGTAACACAGACTCAACCCCAAAGGATGGCTGGGAACAATCCATCATCTTTAGATGTCACCCGTCTCGACTGAAGACGAGGTGGGATTGGGGGGGCTGCGGCGTTCCATGACAATGCGAGGGGCTTGGAAATGTGCTTTTGTCACGAGGCGACAGAAAGCGTGCGAGCGTGTCAGCCGAAAGTAATTGCTGTTGGTAGTGTTTTTAGCGTTCACTCTGCAACGCCGGTTTTACAACTCAGTCATTATTTTTTCGAGCCCAAATTGCATGTTTAAAAACCCCAAAGCCTGAGCCACGGGGGGACGCGTCTCTGCAGAGAAACAGCCCGAACTTGATACTTGAAAGAACTGTGCAAAATTCATTAGGGTGGGCTGAGCCATATGTTTCAAAAGCTACGTCCTCCCCAGGGTTATTAAGCATTTCTCTAACCCCTTCTCTCAGCTTGGTGAGACCCCCCCCACCCCATCCCTTCAAACAAGATGTTTGGTTATATTTGTTCCCTAATTTAATCTTGAAAATCTAAATTTAACTTTTGGTAAACAACTAATCAGGGCTTTGAAACATTTGTGAAACAAACAAAGGATAAATTGAAGTTGTATGTTTAGGGTGAAGACGACTTTTGTGTCTGGATGTTCTGACATGAAGATGCTTTTTAAAATACATCCCATTTATCTCAATAATAGAAAATATAACCGCAGAAATCTAAATTTTCCCGTCTAATTTGTGAATAAAAGCTTTAACAGTGGCTCGTTATTCTTGGTCAAAAACCTCTGCTTGAACTAGAAAGTTTTGGACTTTAATTCTTAGTTGGGAAAATTCAATTCTCGGAGTGGGAGCTGATGTCGTTGTGTTTTCCCGTTTTGGTCTGTGACAGCTGTTCAGTCTGGTTGTTCAATACCAACCAGACTGGTTGATATATATATATAACATTTTTATAACAACTGAAGTTACCATAATTACTTGATTGTCCTATAAAATTGCAGCAAGTGCCTGGTTCACACTGCCTCTAAACTCAGGAACTGACAATAAAATATCAGAAATCTTCAAAAAAAAAAAAAAAGGGTTTAACTACACCTTTTCTCAAGTCAGTAGGCTGCACATTTTCTTGGTGGCAAATCTGCTCTTTTGATTTTTTTTTACTTTTTTGTGCTTTCAAAATTGTGAATCTATAAGTAGCAATTGCACAAAAACGGTAAGACAATACATATCTCTATATTTGGCTACGGATCGACTCTCCACAGCAAGTGCAGAAGAGTGCAGATTAAAGTCGCGGCCTCTTGCCAACTCTGCTAACAGGACGTGTTTGTCAGAGCGATTCCAAAAAACACTGTCGGGTCCACGCCGGTTGTATCCCTGATCCCCAATGCATGTGACTATATCTCTAACGACATAATTGCAACGGGATTACTATTTTATCGTTCCCTTTCAAGCGGAAGGCCTTCCAATTGTGGATTGTAAAATAAATCATTATCCAAAATTGCTGTGAAATAACAGACGCGCTCGCAGGAGTGAGAGATTTCCACGGCCGGGTGCCGCGCGGCAACGCACGCACTCGCAAAGAAAATGGACTGTGATGGAGGCGCAGAGTGAGTTAAATGAGGGGAAATAATAAGGAAAGAGAAGGTTATCAGGCTCTGAGCCTGCTTCATTCAGCCAGCCAGACTGCAAGTCATCACATATGCAGACTTTACTCCAGAGTCAGGGCTTTCTCTCCCTCTGCCTCTCTTAATGGACTCTATTATGATTTGGCTGGTAGCGGGAACGGGGCTGAAATCCGAGGTCAGCGACCCCTCCTTCATGTTTTTGGCACCCAAGGAGCCGGTTGGCAAAAAAAAAAAGAAAAAAAAACAAACACTTTGCCATTATCGTGATCATCGCCTGCCGTGTTGATATCTCTTCGCTTTCGTCGTCCTTCCCATTCCGGTGTTTTCTGTCGCGTCTGGAAGAGCGCTGCTTTTGTTCCATCTCCAGTCGATGATTAATCCCTCCTATATGCCCCCCTCCTGCCCTGCCTCCTTAAATAATGCATATTTCCTTAACTGAACCACCACAGTAAATTGGATTCCAGACCTAATTAGCATGTTGGAATTAAAAGAGCTGAGAACGTTGGCCACAACAAAGCTGAATTTGTTTGTTTTCCGTCGCTTCTGCTGTGTCTT